GGAGCCACTGTACTCCTTCTTCCAGAGCTCCTTTTGGATTTTGTACCTTAGCCCTTTCTTTTGCTCTCTAGAAATTGCCTTACCCCATGCACTGATCTTTGTCCTCTGGACTTCACCTTTCCCACTTATTGCTGCTGCTTCTCTTTCCCGTATTATTTCGTGTCTTTGCTCTTACTATGCTGTCACACACCTGAAACTCTCCGAGCACCATCTCTTGTGATCTCGAACTGACTTTTTTTTCTCAGTCGTGTCCTCATGTCCACCCTGCTCTGCCTCAGGTGTGAGGGCTACTTTACAGTCTAAGTAGTGTCATATCAGCACAGCTAAGTCACCTCCAATATTAGGTTGGACATCTTGACATGTTAGGCAGATGTTAGGCAGGGAAGGTGAATCTTCTGTATTTGCAGTGCACAGTGTAAGTTGGTGATGTTGAGTCCCAAGAGACAAATGCTTTAATAGCAGCACTTCAGGATACCTGCACAACTCTTCAGTGGTCTTCCTGTGGTCTGAAGAACGTGGAAGACAGGGGTCGACTTCAATTTCCACTTCCAACTGACTCATGTGGGCTTCTTGCCAAAGCGCGTGTAATGATGGCAGGATCCCAGCCTTTAGTCCTGGTGGAAGGCAGCCTTCTAGATGTTCTTGATGTTCTTCTTGCTGTTAATACTTCTATACACATTATTACTGACTTGCTAAGTTATTTGTGATGTGGGTGATAAGGTGGTAAAGGTGTGATGTATAAACTTGGGGACGGTGATTTGAATTTCCTGGTCTACAGACAGCACTTCTGTTTGCATAAACAACCCATGCAGAAAGAGTATTGCCTGGACTTGGCCCCTGTGAGGGAAGCAGTAGCATGCACCGTGGGCTGAGGTACAGGATGCACTGCAAATGTGGCTACGCCTGGGCCCCACTGCGCAGCCCTCTGCAAAGCGCCCTGCAGGCACCAGCCCAGCAGGCTCAGGCCTGTTGCAGTGCACCCCAGCAGGCATGCTCTCCACTGACGCAGAGAACACGTGTCAGCTAGGCAGAGACCTGCCATCAAGAGCCCTTCAGCCCTGCCCTTTTGCCAGCCTCTCTTGGCCTATTGAACATTTGTTCTTGCCAGCAGGAGCCGGAGATTGAATGTAACTCCTCCGGGTGCCAGTCAGGTTGGGCAGGTTGATCCTTGATTTGCAATTATGATGAGGCAGCAATTACACAACAGAGCTGCTTTTTCTTGGTGAGCTACAGTTATTAGAGGAATGCAACGAGGAAGGCTAAGGCCCTCTTGGAATTAAACCTTGCAAAGGAGGTAAAGGGTAATGAGAGTTTTTTTTTGTTGTTGTTGTTGTTGTTGTTGTTTTTAAGAATGCCAACAGTAAAAGGAAGACTAGGGAAAATGTGGGCCCCCTACGAAGTGGAGTAGATGCCTTGGATCCCCCTAACAGGAGATGCTGAGAAGACAGAGATTGTGAATGCCTTCTTTGCTTCAGTCTTTAATGCTAAGACCAGCCCTCAGCCCCAGACCGTGAAAGTAAGAGAGTAAGAGAGAGAGGAAGACTTCCAGTTGGTGGAGGAGGATCTGGTCAGAGAGCCAAAATCAACATACAGCAATCCATGGGCCCAGATAGGATGCACCTATGTGTGCTGAGGGAGCTGCACACATTGCTGAACCGCTCTCTATCTAATCTTTGAAAGGTGTTGGTGAGTGAGAGAGGTATTAGAAGACTGGAGGATAACCAGTATCACTCCAGTCTTCAAAAAGGACAAGAAAAAGGATCTGGAAAACTACACACCTGGAAAGGTGGCAGAACACTTTGTTCTGGATGCCCTGTCCAAGTAATTGGGAGAGAAGAAGGTTATCAGGAGTCAACATGGATTCACAAAGGCAAAATCATGCTTCACTAACCTGGTAGCCGTCTGTGATGTCATCATAGCTGGGGAGTTGGGGGAAGAGTAGTGAATGTTGTCTACCTTGATTTCAGAGAATAATTTGACACTGTCTCCCACTACATCCTTGTTATAAAACTTAGAGCGTGTCAGATAGATGAGTAGATGGTGAGGTGGATTGAGAGCTGGCTGACTGGCAGAGCTCAACTAGATGTCATCAGGGGTGCAGGATCTGGTTGGAGGACTGTAACTAGCAATATTCCCAGTGGGTCAGTGCTGAGTTGTCTTCAGCATCTTCAACAACAACCTGGATGCAGGGATAGAGTCCACCCTCAGCAAGTTTGCTGATGATACTAAGCTGGGAGGAGTGGCTGACACACCAGAAGGTTGTGCTACCATTCAACAAGACCTGGGACAGACTGGAGAGCTGGGCAGGGAGGAACCAGATGAGGTTTAAGAAAACCAAGTGTAGAGTCTTGCACCTGAAGATAACTGCGTGCATCAATCCGGATTAGGGGATGACCTGCTGAAGAGGAGTTCTGTGGAAAAGGACCTGGGTGTTCTGGTGAACGACAGCAGGTTGGCTGTAGCCAGCAGTGTGCCCTGGTGACCAAGAAGGCCAATGGGATTCTGGGGTGCATTAAAAAGAGCGTGGCCAGCAGGTCAAAGAAGGTGATCCTCCCCCTCTACTCTGCCCTGATTAGGCCACGTTTAGAATACTGTGTTCAGTTCTGGGCTCTCTAGTTCCAAAAAGACAGAAATCTCCTAGAAGGAGCCCAGCAGAGGGCCACAGAAGTGATGAAGTTGAGGTTTTGTTAGCAGTGTTCCTAGACTTTTGGGGTCTGTTCTTGTCTAAAACCCCACTCTCTTTTCCACCCTCTTCTCCAAATTTGTTCAGTGTAATCTTGTTCTCTCAATTGCCCACAGCACAAATCTGACTCCCGAAGTCATTGTTAATTCATGCTCAGATGTCTGGGTATTGAGACTCTCTTCCTTTGCTTGGTGTATGGGTTAAAAAAACTACTAAAAAATCCCTTCTTCTCTCTTTAAAGTCTTAGCTGTGCCAGCAGTGCACTGTACCTAACTTGACATATGTGCTTGAACTACTGTTTGACGTACCTCCCTCCTACACGGCTCTTAGAAGAGGTGATGTGATCTGCCCACTGGAGATGCTGACTAGCTTGGTTGCTCTGGAATTCTTGAGGAAGCCACACATGTATTCTGGTGTGCCAGCCTTTCTGGTCAGCTGCTAGAAACAATCAGCTTGTCTCATTTTCCTTGCCTCTTTTTTATTCCAGCGTGTCTTCTGTCTTTTCTCTTTCTGTTGACTGCGTTATTTATATTTATGCCATTTTAGTCTCTTGCAGAAAACCGTCAAGGCATGTCATGGATGTGTCTCCTTGAATAGCTGGAGCTGCAAACCATAAGGTGAATCACTCCAAAGGACACAGGTAAATGTAACACGAAATTCTCATCTTAATGCTAGCAGCGTTATCTCTTTTCTTCTGAACTGATGGACTACTGCCAAGTCTGTGAACATCTGATGACAAGTGCTGAGTCACAGGCAAGACAGAAACCCATATATTTAGCGACTCGAGAGGAGCAGTTTCTTTTGTGGATGACAGTATGCTAACATGTACATTGCAGAGTGTGAATGTCTGGGTGGGGAGGCACGTAACATTACAGTACTGAGGCAGCAATCTACACTGAAGCTGAGAAGGCATATCCTTTCAGAAGAATTTGTTTCTCTTTTCCTCATTCCAGAAAGTTCAAACATGTCACTCTCCACCCATAGGAATGATTTAGCAGAAAGCAACTAAGCTTCCAAAGCAGCTGCCTAGCCTTCTTGTTCAAGGACAGAAATTGAACTAGGTGGGTCTGAAGCTGAAGAAGTTCAGCCATCAGACTGATAGGCAAGGTATGCAAGGGAACTTCAACTCACTTTGATACTAGATGCTTTACCAAGGCTTTTGCCTGAGGATGGCAACCTGGAATTACCCAATTACAACACAGACATGCAGAATAAACAGATAGAAACTGCATCATGATGATGTTTGAAGAGAAGAATGAAACATACCCACATTTTTCTGCTGGATACAAACATTTTGTTATCTGTTTCAGTGAGGGTTCACTAATAGAATCAAAGCAGTCCACTGCATGCCCAAAGAGTATGTTACTCTTAGATAAAAAGTACTGCATAAGTACTGCATTAAGATATTTAAGCCTTTATGTGATTTAGTTAGGTCCTTTCTTTGGGTAAATTATACAGTGGCAGTTGCTTATAGGCACACAGGGATATACAAGCTGACTGGTGCATAATCGGAGATGATGAATAGCACTGACAGTTCAACATGGTAATAAACACATGGGGAAACCTCTCATTAAAGATAATGCCCCTCTAGGTTATTTGCTCTGAACCATTTTAATCACTCATTCTCAAGAAAATGTACTGATTTTTATAGTAATTTCCAGAGTTGTTCCTAGCTTAGTGTGGATATTTTAGCCTTCACCTTTCAACAGGAGTCTGCTCCTTCAAACTATTTTTTAGTTCAGATATAGCATTGTACAGAGAGTTAATCACCGTAGGGAAGAAAATTTTTCTGAGAGTGTGGTGTTAATTCCCAAGGGGACAAGACATGTACCTGCTAAAGCCTCATGTATTTGAGGAATTAAATCAGTCACTTACCCTTTGATTTCATCATCTTTGAAATGAGAAAAGAAAACGTCTTGGAGCACGGTGAGATTAGGTTAGTGGTGTTTTGATAGGACATTGCCACTTGTGGCAATGTGCAAAGAGCTGAGCTTTGAAAGAAAGGATGGTTAACTCTTCAGTTGGTGTGCATTTATCCCATAACTATCTTATAAAGTAAAACACAGTAAATACCAGTCTTGAGAAAGGAGTTTCACTATGTAACTCTAAAATACCAGTTAAAACAAAAGAGATTGCAAAGCAAATATCACATAACTGTTTTCTCAGTGGTTTTAAAAGAATACCATTTTAAACAGTAGCACTGGCTAAAATTTAAACAGATATTGAACAGCACATCAATTCTCAAACTAACAGCAGGAGTAGTACCTAGCTGGGGTATTAAACTGGTAAAGAGAACAAAATTATAAGAAAACCAACATTTCATATAACAAATTTTATTTTGAAAAATGTAAACGTCACTAACCATGCATACATGTTAAGACGATGCTTTACAGTTGTTAATTTTCTTCCTTTTTGCTTTTTTTACTGTTGCTGTATAGACATTATCACAATATATAATCTATGAAGTACAAAATACGTAAAAAGTTACAGCAGAGCAAGTATAGATGAAATATATAACTGTACAACTGTAATACTTCAATGTAGTGATTTATAGAGTTGAAAGTGACCCATGGAAGTGTTCATGTGCTGTAGACAGAACTGTCCAGGAGAAGGTGAAGATGACACCAGTAACATTACAGTTCCCGAAAGCTGAAAGTACATATGTAAACATGTGCACACTTACTGGCACGCACATTGTCACCCACAGAGGCAGGCACACGTGGATAAGCACATGTGCACATGCACACACATCCCCCACAATGCGTATACACGTAAGGAACTACAGCTGTAACCAGAGATGAAACTAAACCACAAATCTCAAAAAAAGCCAACCCAATCCAGATTCAAACTTTCCAAAGGCAATGTTGTTTGGATCTAGGATTTTGGTTCAGACCCATCGCTAGTTAGAATGAAATGGATACCTAGTTTTGCTCTGTAGACATCCCTTCATTATTCTTAGTGTAGTGCATATACACTGCTATGTATTTATGTATGCACACACACACATACTGTGCAATACACATATAGACATCTGTGTGCATACACTTTAAAAAATCATATTAAAAAAAATCGTATATCGGTGGATTCTTGCATTCTCTATTCTGGTTTATGAGCTAAACCAGTAGAGTTTGGCTATTCTCTACTTCCTAAAGCTAGAGCTTTGCAGAGCCATAGAACGGCTTGGGTTGGAAGGGACCTCAGGGATCATGAAGCTCCATCCCCTCTGCCGCATGCAGGGCTACCAAACTCCATATCTAATACTTGACCAGGCTGCCCAGGGCCCCATCGAACCCAGCCCCAAGCACCTCCAGGGGCATCCACAACCTCTCTGGGCAGCCTGCTCCAGCACATCACCACTTTCATAGCAAAGAGAAAATTATCTTCCAGAATGTTGAAAATACAGATGTTCATCATTCTGTTCGCTGATACAGACTATATGTTAGCACCCAATGCATGAACAGATGGTGTGAGGGAGTAAAACAGCACCTGAAAGTCAGTTTGTAGGCATCACCTGGTGAAATTAGTAAATCAAATGGCAATGGAAAGGCAAGCTTTAGTATACAGAATTCATTTTTCTTATTCTTTATAAATTGTATTCCCCAAAACAAGAATGCATTTCACACAGTGCAAATCCTAAAACTCTTGGGAAAGAAAACCAGGTTGAATGTGAATACCTTCAAACAGGTAAGCTTCTTAGACAGCCTTTTCCTGTCTGACTGCATGAAAAAAGAAAAGCACTGAACTTCTGGGTAGAAGGTAATGAGGTTTTAAGGGTGTACACATGCTCACAGAACTGAAAGTTATTGCAAGTATTAATGCAATACTCAAGGTCGGGTATGAACGAGAATCAGGTGTTACCAAACACAGGCTTCCAATGTTTGGTTATGAACATGTACTTCTGCAGTTATGTAATGTAAGCAAATGCTATGCATGTATTACAAGAGCAAAGAATAAGTAATTTGCAGATATAAAGAATTCTCACAATAAAATCTAGCTGCCTGTGGTTTACCAGGACTGCTTTATAAGAAGGAGGATGAAAAAGAAATCCTGGGCGTAGGATGGGGTTAATGGAATGAGTTTCTAAGGGCAAGTCTTATATCAGCAAAAAAAATTGCTTAGACATCTGGAGGACATTAATACTCCTTTCATTTCTGTTTTCATGTACTACAGTTAACATCTTGACCCAATGCTAAGACCTGAGCTGATAGTTTGGGAGGGAGACTGTGAGTGCCTTCAGTTGCAATTGGATGATGGTAGTAGGGTGGTGATTTTAATTTGCACTCTTTTTCATAGCAAAGCAGATCAGGTCAGATCCTGAAAGCAAGATGGAATCATGGCTGAAGAAAAGGAAAGCAACTCTTGGGGCTTTTTAATATTAATAAACCCGTTCCTGGGTTCTGAAATTAAAAAAAAATAAAAAATAAAAAAAAATTAAGGCGACTTTATAGTTTGTGAGGATGCACCTCAACAGATTGCACAGGGAAATGAGAAGTAGGACGAAATTCACACCTTCCCAGAGCAGTTCTTTCCTGAGCATGCAGTGCCAGCTGCTAGGCGAGAAGACCAGATTGGGTCACACAGCTGGGTGAAACAACAAAAAGGTAAAAATCTGAGGTTAGTTTGGACAAGTGACCAGATTTAAAAATGCAAACTGTTCAGACTTCTTATATCTGCAAATCTGAGAAGAAACAATTGTGTGCAGAGTCACAAGAGCTTGCTGGTTTTTCTGCTTCACAAAACCCCAAACTCTCACTTCATGTATGATAATATCAAGAGACGTTTTCTCCTACATTCAGCACTGAAAACTACCAGTGGTTTGGAATTCATTTTTGTGTCCTAGAACTATCATTTACTAAGTGTTTAATGGAGAGATCTGAAGCTCTAACTAGGATTTTAAAACTTGGCAATTCAGCTGTCAGCCTACCAGACTCTGAGGTGTTTACAGCTAAGATGTTTAAAAATAATAATAATAATAATAAATTTAATGGCAAGTTGCAGAGAATCTACTGAAAGTGTGGCTATGTTGGCTACATGCAGTCTCACAGCCTTCATATTAGATGAACTGGCTCAACTGGAAATTCAACTTTGTCCCAGTCTTTTTTTTTCTTTCATCATAGCCTCGAGTTACTGCTGTTAGCAATCTCTGTAAGGAAAATACATGAAATGTTTTAGATTACTATTTGAGTTAAAGATTAACTAGTTTTTGTCTCAGAATAGGTTGTCCCGTAATTTCTATTTCCCGTAATCCTTGTACCAATAACATGGTGGGAATATTCCTTCTCGAGGCTATAAAAATCTGCAGTGTATCTACTGATTCATGGTGAACATTACACTCTAGTGAAAGGACTGGAGTGGTTTGTCCTCTGCTAAAGATTAAATGATGCTCTTGTTGGAGAAGGGGATTTTAGAACAAACTGAAGTTAGAACAAAAAATCTATGACTGTTGCTGATACTTAGGTTATTTTTTCCCTCCATATCCCTCTTATGGTCTAACGATAGTGACAAACGTGTTTATGACTGCAAGTATGAGCACATGGCACAGCTGAGCTGTAAAATTCCTTTAGCTGGATATCTTAATTGCGCCTTTCCTGACTAGAGCACGAGAACACTTTTATCAGTCACAGAAATGATTGGAATGTAAATTCCTCTTACCTGAATAGTATAAGGTTTTCACTCTTTTTTAATCTCAGTAGCTGAGATTTAAAAAAAGAAATCTGTCGAGGTAAAACAATCTGGCTTTCCCCTTTACAGTGGTTAGGCAGCTCATCCCAGAAATCCAGCAATGCTTGTTTCACAAAAGAACCCTGTTCCTTCATTGTCTGTAAATGCAGTAGTAGAACTGTGCCTAGCATGACTTCCAATTCAGAAGGGGAAGATTATGATTTTCTGGAGGTGAAATCTGAGGCAAATGAACATGAGAAAATACTGAAATATCTGCACTTTGAACTGCCTGTAAATTTATGCATACAAGTATAGTATTAGCAATAACGTATATATTATGGAAGTACCCATGAAACTACTTAGGAATCTATATTAGCCTCTCACAGTTAATATACAGTACAAAAAAAACCTTGCAGAATTGGATCAATGCAAGCTAGCAAGTAAGATACAAGCTCATTTGGAATGGGTAAGCATTAACTTGATATCAAATGGCATGTTTGGCATAGAGAGTTTTGCCTTATCGTGCTACACTCACCTGCATTTTATAATCTACAGTAAAAACAAGAAAACACCCAAAATTCCAGGATCAAAAAGGCTGATTTATAGCATGCACCATCAGAACCAGCCAAAACAAAGCGTATGTCTCTGGGACATCGCAGTGCTCTGGTTTTTTGCTGTACTTCTTACCATGCAAAACATGATGAAGGTCTACTTCCTCGTGCTCTGTATTTTGCCCAATACTTCAAAATCATTGAAAAACAGCTAAGATTCCCTTTATCTTTGAAGCAGTTCTTCAGAAATAACAGAACCTTTCTTTATGCTGATATTTCTGTTTTTAAGAAACTGTAAGGAGAGCTAAAATGCCTTTTTTTTGTAACACCTAGAAATGCGTATTTTATTTTTGTAGTCAGAATACCTTGCAATTTTCTCTTCCTTTTATCAGTGACCATGATTGCGATACAACAGGAAACAGAGGCTGTCTTAAGCAATTTGTCTTACTAAGATACAACTGTACAGAAGGTAAGTACCTTGATAAACCAGTGATGGGCATTGGTTCAGTTACTCTATTTCCGTAGTTCAGTTAAAACAAATAATTAAAGAAAAAACAAAAGGATAAAGAAAATCATTCAAGTCAGTGTGGTTTGGTTTGAGTGTTCTGCTGGTCCCTGCTGCTCCACAGTGCGGAGAGCTTAAGAACTTGGAGAAAAAAGAATGCCTCTGAGATTCCGTGTCACTTTGTAATACAGTGTTACCCAGTGTAAACGCGTTTCCTCATGATTTACATTATTTACTTAAGGCATCTTGTTTAGAATTATTTGCTCAGAATTTTATCTGGCATAAAACAAAAATAATTAGTAGTTTATCAATTTCATGGAGATTTTTGGAATAGGAAGTTGGTTTGGGAGCCTCTTCATCGTGGCACGAGAAGGTAGCTTGCTGTCAAAAGCAGAGGGCAGTTTCAAGAAAGAAGATCCTTTTTAGATGCTCCCCGGTGCAGATGTATAGCCAGGAATACAAACAACAGAAGAGTCTGGTACTACATTCCAGTACTGGTTTGGTTTTTGTATTGTCTGTTTTTTTTTTTCCCCAGTGTGTGAAAGGACCTAACAAAAAGCTTCTGAGTGCAAATCTATTTACAGAATAAGGCTGCGGTTAGGGTGTGTCTTCATTGTAGTTATTGTGTAACATAAATATCCATCCCTGAGAAAGGAGAAGGGGGACACCATCCAACACAGTTGATTTGTAAGTGTTATGTATGTTCATGTTGTGCAATCTGGTCTTACAAAACTACTTTTGACACCTGAGGTGAATTAATTTTTTTTTTTCTTTTTTAGATTTTCTCATTTTCTTATAAAGAATAATCAAGAGGATCTGTTTGTGGTTGTAAAACGTATGAAATATTGAGACAGCAGGAGTCACTAAGTGGAACATGTAAGTCCGTCACTACGTCCATGAGGTTAGAATGGCCGCTGTGTGGTTGGGTGAAGAAAATGTGACTGAAAATTGCAGTGGGAGGCAGCTATTTACTGATTTTATATATATATATATATATATAAAAAGTAGGGGTCAGGGAAAAATTGAGGAGGGAAAGCGATAGGATCTTTAAAATGTGTGCAACACAAACAGAACTCCGCGTTAGGTATTAGAGGCAAAGTGCTGACATCCAGTGCAGGTAGGTCTACGGGGAGCTGGCAGGGCTCATCGTTGGACTTGAGGCATCTGAGCGGCTGTAGTCACTGACAGACCCTGTTCTTGAATTACTCCCACTTCGTCTCTTGAGCATGCTCGGGTGGAAGTTGGCATGGCGGCGGGCGTGTTTGGTCAGATGGTCGCTGCGCATGAAGCGTTTCTCGCAGAGAGGGCAGCTGAACTTCTTTTCTCCAGTGTGAGTGCGGTAATGGCGGGCCAGTTCATCAGAGCGAGCAAACTTCTTGTTGCATTCCTGCCAGCTGCATTCAAAAGGCCGCTCACCTGCAGGAAGCAAACGTGGCGTGATTAGGAGACGCGTGGCAATGTCATCCCTGTTTTTCATATGCAAAAGTTAAAAAGGCTAGGGTGAGGTAGATGCTACTATGCAAAGGGATGGAGGCAGTGGCTTTCTCAACCATGGTGGGAGACCACTGTGGTATTCCATTTTAAAAAGTCTTTTAAATCAAACTACTGATACCGTGTTTAATTACTGGATGTTCAGGGATCCTGGCCCTTCCCTGATGTCACATTTCATATCTCTGGCAGTTCGTTGGATTTTACTTCTGGAACTGTATTCCTACTGAATATTTGCTTCCAAGCTGTCCCTGTGTTTGTTTAACTCACTGTAAAAGTTCAGACAGTGTTATGAAGTCTCCCTCTATAGCTAAATGGAAACAATTGCAGTAGGAGTACAGGATGGCAATTCTGAGGCTCCGAATGTGAGGCTCTCACCTCCTGTTCTCCACAGTCATGCTTGTGTTTTCTGCATTTGCTGAAAGGTGCAATGTTTTCTCTTGTTCACTGCCTTTGGTCTTATTTAGGCGGGAGGCATTTCAACTACATAAACGTCCCACTGTGAGGGTAGTGGCATGCTATCAGTAGCTATCCTAAAACCTGTGATCTGTGATGCTGAGCCTAGGACCAGTGACCCAGACATAGCAAACATCTCTCCCAGGACTGTGTGCTCATGCATGGCAGTCTCAAAGGCCTGCAGCTGCACACTTGTAGTAGCTGTGCAGCCTGAGAAAGAGAAGGTGGCGGCTAAGATGAACAGGACTGCTTTTAGAACTAAAGATTAAAAACTTAGTGCCCCACCAGCTGGTTTACTGGATATAGTTTAGTTGCTTAAAAAAAACATGCAAATTCATTCAATGTCCTCATGAGCCTTCTCCTGTAAGCTGTTGGGAACACATCTCATTCTGCTGAAAGGAATGAAATGTGAAATACATGGGAGGCAAATATTTTGGCTGTTTATCATGTATCCAGTCATCTGTTGGATACACTCCTGCCTATGATCGGACATGCCAGTAAAAACAGTTGTGCAACCAAATTCACCAGTCTTCTCCCTGTATTTTGGACATGCAACAGATGCACTTGCAGGACTTTAGAACTTTGGCAACAAGAGCAATGACACGGTCTGACAGGTGGATCTAGCCTGTAGGTTCAAAGTTTCTCATCTTTGAGATATGGCTTTTTTCTTTTTTTATAAGGCAGTGGTCTTTGGACATTTCTGTTGCCCAAGTTAGTCTTCTGTGTGTTTGCTTTCATTGCAAAAGAGAACAACACACGTTCTTCACTAGAAACACTCCCCAGATTTGTCTGGGAACATTCAGGATCATACTCACCTGCCTGATTTGATGTTAATGATGGTTGTGGTGATTATTGGACTGCCAGACAAAAAAAAAATGAGGGTGCGTGTCTTTCTTCCAATTGCTGTCTACTCTTTCTACTCCTCCTTCCTAGGAAATATTTTTCCCCTCAGCCATCTCTAAATTTGGTTCACATCTTCTTGGTGGTTGCTCTTCTCTGTACTATCTGGCAGTTCGCACCATTCTAGCGGTGATCTGTTTTCTAGAGTGCTTCCCAGTTTTGTTGAGGCTTAGCAATGCCTCCTCAAAGAAAAATTGTATTGTTGAGGTAATGCTGAATGTCTTATGTAGGTATAAGAGTCATTAGTCCATTAAAACACAGAGTGCTGTCTGGAACAAACTTGTCTTAATTAAGGCAAAGACCTAGCTGCTGCTTCAAAACTACAGGTGAAAATTCTCAGTCTGTCATCAGACTCATCTCTCAAACAAAAGGCATGTGGTTTTCTGTGCAGGCAAGTTGTTATATAAATGTCCTCTTACTAGCAGTAATGGAGAGAATGAGATTATATGAATTGATTGCCTAATCTCATTAAGGAGCATCCAGCCAAGAGAAGAGATGTCTTGCATAAGCACTGACTCATGGACATCTTGTACTTAGAATTTTGCCTTAATGGAATGACTGCAGAATTTGATCCTATAAATTAATGTGGAAATGTTTACTGCTGTATTTGAGATATCTTTTAACATGTCAAGTGTGTCAGTGTGTATATTGAGAGTTGTAATGCTATATCTTGGCAGGAAGAATATTATCATGCTGTATGAGCCTCAGGAAAAGTTAAGCAGTCTCCAAAAGACAAACAGCTGTGCTTGAAAATAAAGGGAGCAAAAAGAAATTCAGACCTCTACTCTTCAGAGGCTGGCAAGGGATGCCTTTTAAAGATGAGTATTTAATTTTTAACAATTTTAAGTGGCTTTGAATTTCAGTAAACTGTAACCTTCATATGTCCTCTGCCACAGCACATCATCACACATAGCTTGAGTTAGAATTCCAAAAGGTGATCACATTTGAGAAGCACAGTCAATTGATCTTAACTGAAGATTACACGAGCAAGAACATTTTTTGTTTCTCCCTGAACTCCATCCAGTTCAAAGGAAAAAATATACATACAGCTGTGTTAAGAAACCCATAGTGCTCACTGAGTAAGACTGACTTCTGCAGGTGCACTAACTTCTGAAATTATTTCAGTGGCACAGACATAGCTACTAATGCTGACTATATTGTCTGCCAGAGCAGACTGCCAAAAGAAACTACTGAGTTGCCCATGCTTGGAAGCAGCATAAAAAAATACCCCTCCCTGCACTTTTGCTGGAAAGGATTCAGAAGGATATGGGGCCAGTCTTTGCTTATGGTGTTACATAAAAGTCCTCTATTATTTTATATTTGTCAACTGTTATTTATATCAAGACATCTCTGTCTGTTTATGAGAAAGATGGTGAAACTACAGGAATGGTGGAACAAGATCTGATGTCTACCAGGCTCCATTTTTACCATGCTTCTACTGCATTCTTGACTTTACCCTGATCCACGTATAATTCTGAGGACTCCCTTCTGGTATAAATGACACTCCTACATAGTCCTGGGAGTCATCTGCTTTCTGTTTTGCCAGCTCATCTATGTGATATTTGTCTTGCTCTGAACAGGTTGACCAAGGAACTGGTGTAGTCACCATTCCTGGAGTTGTTCAAGAAACAATTAGATGTGGTACTCAGGGACATCATTTAGTAGGCAGTATTGGTGGTAGGTGGACTGTTGGACTAGAGGAATTTAGAGGTATTTTTCAGCCTTAATGATTCAGTGATTCTGCATCCAGCATTTGAACAACAACTAAAAGTCATAGTAAGTACTGTAGGTCTGAGCACATTTAAAAAATAACCTACAAATGACTGAAATGCCAAAACAGGTTGTGAGACTTGGGATGCATTACATTCTCATCCTCAAGCATATGCCAAGGCTGTGAAGTCACAAAGAAATTCTTTGTTTCCTAGGACTTCAGGATTCCAAATGCGTAACCACAGTTGGTCAGCCAGAAACAATTTGCTGTGTGATCTTTACTCTGTTCTGCTGCTTCACCAGGCAGAACTGCTTGTTGTCATGAAAACAGACAGAAGCCTGAATGTGCCACGTGTGCTATTCTTAAATTTCTACACTTTCATATTCAAAATTAAGATGTATCTGGAAACACTGACCAGCAGCAGGCTGGGTGGGGAGGATGAAGAGCAGACAGTTAAATAGATGTGCAACTGAAGCACTCTTCCTCCAAGAAAGGAAATGCTATCCTGAGGGAAAAAAAAAAAAAAAAACAAAAAACAGAAAAAACCAGCCAAACAGTCTGTGTTTCTTGAGACTGGCTGTTATTTAAAAAAAGAAAGTCATCCTTCAATAGCATTGACATGTATTTACGAATATTTTCATTTCTGTTATTCTCTTGCTTATAAACAAGCATTTTTGGATAGCTAAAATACAAGCCTTTAACCTTCTGAGTTTGAAAAAGAGAATAAGAAACAGCTTTGATATTAGACAAGCAGTGATTTCTTTATGAAGTATTGAAAAAGGGACCAAAAAAATCCAAACTCGAAAATTTCCATATTCCTATAAACTGAAACCAGGCAGTTTAAAATCTGTGATACTGGGGAGACTTAGTTCAAAATGATACAAACCAGATGCAGTCATGTTTTTGCGTGTCTGTTCAGATGTACAAAATATCTCTGATAACCAAATCTGACAGAGATAGCTAATTCAGCAGTGTTAGGCTCCATTAAGTCAGTGAATAGGAGGAGATTCAAGTAATGTTCTTAATGAAAAGTTACAGAATGAGTTTGACTGTCATTAGATACCAGAATCCCAATGCAGGAGATCATTACAAATGCCCAAATCAAAGAAAAACTTCAACATGTTATTAAGCTCTGGAACATAACACTCCCTCCAGCCTTAGGACCCAGAGCAACAACAAGTGAGGTTGCATGACCTGCTGACAGAATTGGGTTTGTCTCTGCTATTTCCAACATGATGTGATGGAATTTTAGGAACTGAAGTTCAGATTTCCAACAGGGACATACCCAGACATAAGTGCAAACTCACTTGAATGTGTGGGCATCTCTATTAATAAACCTACTCATTAAATTGAATAGGTTGTTGGCTCTTGTGTTTTCTGAGTCCATGTGGAACTACTACTACTACTGGGCAAGAGCAGCACGAGCCACCATATTTTCTCTTTAAATCCTTGGTTTATTTTCTGTGTCTTAACATTTTCATTGAGATGTTTAGACACATATACTTCTTGAAAGGGGAATATCTAAGCAGAAGGTTTACATTGTAAGTTAATGTGTGCTACTATTTGCTCTGGAAGTTCTCGTGTTATCACATCCGAGAACACAGATTACAGTGTGTGATTTACCTTTATAATCAACACTAATTAGAACAACTCAAATCCAAATAATGAACACACATTCAGATACTGCAGTAACAATGCCTACAATGCTAGAGAAATGTAAATAATGCAGACTTCCTACCCTAGCCTTAACCACAGTCAGTTGTTAACAGTAAGGCACAGGTGATGCTTTCAGATATGCTAATCAGCTGTCAAACAGCAAGACTGTGTGCCAACATCATTTACTTATTTAAACAATATGAGT